TGTAATAAAAGACAGCTTGGTTCACTATGTTCCACTTAAATTTCATTGTGTTCTACCCTGTTTTACTGGGGAAAATTTCAGGAAGGAATATGTATTTAGCTCAGAACCTTCATAAATTCATTCTTACCCACTGCTACCTCACCCTCCTCCCCAGGCTGCTCTGGCCAGAAGTCCTTTCTCATCCTGCTGCCGTGGAGTGAGGAGTGCGAGTCTCACGTGGGAACCTTAATCTTTCGTTGTTGTTGTTAAGAATACAGACAAAAACCAGAACCTTTAGTTCCATATGCCACTTAGTCATCTGTCCTGGGGACAGAACAGATTTTAGACTATATCCAATTAAATGTCACGTTAAAATTGATGGTTGCAGAAACAGAGCACCAGTATTGATTCCAGCTCCTAGTTTAAAAAAAAACCAAACCTGTTGCCGTCGAGTCAGTTCCGACCCATACTGACCCTATAGGACAGGATAGAACTGCCCCATAGGGTTTTTCAAGGAGTAGCTCTGTTAGCAGCCGAGCTCTGAACCACTGCACTACCAGGGCTCAGCAGTGAAGCTGTTGTCATGGTAATGGTCTACTTAGGCATGATATATGTTGAAAGCTTTAGATATTCTACAACTCCAGTGAGTCAAGTAGCTCAGAAATTGAAGACATTTCGGATTTTGCAATTCAAAATATACAGTAGGCTCTAAACTTAAAGAATTATTCTTTAAAAAAGTGGTGTGTATTTAAACTTTAAACATTATTCCCTATTAACTGGCTATTGATAAAGAATCCCCAAACAGGAAGTTTTTGAAAACTCTTCCGCTAAGTGTTAATTTTCAGCTACAGTATCTGTATCTATCATCATTTCCTGAGATCGTGAGAGCTGCCAACGCCCCTTGTGGAAAGCTCTGGGAAGCCATTGTGTTCAGGGTTTTTCTGTATTTTATTTTCCTCCTTTTTGTTTGGTCACTTAAAATATCTGTGAAAATAGAATTCGTGTAGTCTGACATTTGATCTGTAAACACTGCTGCCTTTCATTTAAAGTGAGACCTTTACTCTGTATCTAAGTTTGACATGTTCCTTAAGAACAGAAGCTGAAAATGAGTTTCTAAATGATGAAGACCTAATATTAACATAAGTATTTTTTTTTAATTTTAAACAAGACATGGAGAACAAAGCATGGGCCCAGTATCTGAGGGGAAAACAGGGGTGTGTTTTCTGTGCTATACTGTGGCAAAGAGTGTGCAGCTGTGGGGTCTGACATCCTGGCCTACTTATTTTCACTTGAGACCTTTACATGGTGCCAAAAGACTATTTACAAAAAGCTAACTTTGCTACTATGTGCACATTGTAGTATTGGCAGCAAGACACACACAGCTGCCAGTGCCTACAGGGTATTGAGACATTCAAGAGCATGAGAAAGGGACAGCAGCATAGCAAAAGCTGTGACTGCATTATAACCCAGTCACACCACCCGCGGTGTAATATTCTGTTTCTGTTTTTCTAATTTGGTTTTGGCCAAAACAAACTGAAGAAGCAATGAACTTTCTTCTCTATTCCTACCCCCAAGCATCCTACACAGTGGGGTTTAGCGTGTCCTCTGTCTTCTTCTGTTTCAAACATTAAAGTTTTCTGGATCTAGCAATGTCTAACAGCTCATTTTGTCACGTAAAGCTAGATTTCCAAGGACCACCTGTACTAAGGAAGATTTGGTGGAACCAGTGTTAAAAGAAAATCTAGAAAGGTGTTTATTGAATAAAATGTTCTGGGGGTAGTCAGAGTTTTTCTAAAGCTAAGGCAGTATGTTGAGCATTTTGAACTAGTGAATTATTATTTTTTTAATCTGGAATTCAGAAAGCTACAAATCACCTTGACTTCCATTGAGAACTCAGTCTTAACCTAGTTTATATAAAAAACCTATTAACCAAATAGAATTATCAATAGGCAGACTTTCTCCAGAAGGATATCACAATCTGTATACTGAGCAAATAATCCAAGAAGCGGGCCTGTATGAAGAAGAACAAGGCATCAAGATTGGAGGAAGAGTCGTTAACAACCTGCGAAATGCAGATGATACAACCTTGTTACTGAAAGTGAAGAGGACTTGAAGCACTTACTGATGAAGATCAAAGACTGCAGCCTTCACTATGGATTACACCTCAACATAAAACAAAAATCTTCATACCTGGACCAGTAAGCAACATCATGATAAATGGAGAAAATACTGAAGTTGTCAAGAATTTCATTTTACTTGGATCCACAGTCAACACCCATGGAAGCAGCAGTCAGGAAATCAAACAACATATTGCATTGGGCAAATCTGCTGCAAAACACCCCATTAAAGTGTTAAAAAGCAAAGACGTCACCTTGAGGACTAAGATGCACCTGACTCAAGCCATGGTACTTTCATTCGCTTCACATGCCTGTGAAAGCTGGACAATGAATAAGGAAGACCGAAGAAGAATTGATGCCTTTGCATTGTGGTGTTGGCGAAGAATATTGAATATACCGTGGACTTCCAGAAGAACAAACAAATCTGTCTTGGAAGAAGTACAGCCAGGATGCTCCTTAGCGGCAAGGATGGCAAGACTTCATCTCATCTGCTTTGGACATGTTATATGGAGGTACCAGCCCCTGGAGAAGGACATCATGCTTGGTAAAGTAGAGGGTCAGTGAGAAAAAGGAAGACCCTCAACGAGATGGATTGACATAGCAGCTGCAACAATGGGCTCAAACATAGCAACAATTGTGAGGATGGCGCAGGACCAAGCAGTGTTTCATTCTATTGTACGTAGGGTTGCCATGAGTCAGAACTGACTCAACAGCACCTAACAAGAATCACAAATCACATACTGTCACAAATAACATAAGAGGACTTCCTACAGTGACTTTTATACCCCTTTCTTAGTGATGACTACAGTGTTGAAGAGAATAATTGAAGGAAATGTTGATTCTTTCATCTTCTATCTTTATACTCTCAGGATGAAGTAAGAAGCAGTCTTCTGCTGAATTTTGCAATTTCAGAATACTCAAAATGAGGATGACTTGAAGAGATTTCTCGCAGGCATTATTTAGGTTCTGCTCTTTACAAGTCAGTAAAGAATTTAAAAGCCTTTTCATCAGTTACTGCTGCTCCTGCAGCCCCCTGCTCAGCCGTGGTCTGGGTGGCAGTGGATTCCCCAGCTCAGCTAGCAGGACTTAACTGAGTCTGCAGCTGGCTGAGAGGAGCACCGGCTGCCAGATTTGTGTTGTCTCCTCTCCCTACTCACAGGAGGGGCAAGAGGAGCCACTGCTGATCTCAGAAATGTACTTTTGGGAAACAAAAAATTTAGCTAAAATTTTTACCTTTATTTGTGGATCAGCAATAGGACTTTTTTGTTGTTGTGTTTTTTTTTTTTTTTTTTTTTTTTTGGTAACTTTCCTAGCTATTCAGTATTTGAAGAGCAGGATGACACCAGCCTAATAATCTTCATAATGATCCTCATACTGAGCACTCAGATAACAATGGACATAAAGATAGAGGGACAGATGAACTTAAAGTAGGTGCCAACCAGTATGAAGATGAGAACACGCAATGTTGCTGAAAAACTCGGGTTAAAATTCTTTTCTGGGTAAGATGGGCCTCAGCATCTAGAAAAAGAAACCAAACACATCAAAGACATGGGCCCAGCATTGTAACAAAGTTTCCTAAAGACTCCCATACTATGGGGTTAGAAACCAGTGAAGACAGAACCCAGCTATACTGGAAAACAGTTAAAGCCTTTCCGTTTTTTCGTGACTATTATTTAGAAGATGCTGATTGCTTCATGGAAGCAGATAATGTTATAAATGTCCTACTAGACAATTGGAGATGCCTTCTCTTAAACTTTGATCCTGAAGAACCCATTTACTTCAGGGAAAGATTGAAACCCAATGTAAAACAGTCCGGGATGAGTGGAGCGGGATAATGTGTTGAGCAAAGAAATCTTGAAGAGGTTTGGTTCTGGAAGCTCTGGGTACCAGAATCATAACTTCTTCTCCTGCAGAAGGTCCTGGTTATGTTCTGATATTGCAGTTTGTTTTCTTGACCTTACAAGAATGTACGAGTTAGACTGCCTTGTGTGTCATCTTCTTGCATAGATCAACCTGCTTTATTTGAGAAACCAGTAAAACAAATAAGTGAGGTAATCAAGAATGAAGATCCAAAGGTAAAATTAGGGAACACTTGAAAGGGAAATAGAATATACAGGGGTAAAATGTCTAACACGGCCCTGAAGAAGAACTTCTGCATCTCTGATACAGAAACACCCTGATCCACAGAGGAATTCTTTGTACGTGAACATTCCAGATATAAAATCTTTCAGATGAATGGCTGTAAGCTGAATCTTTGAACACCAACTGTGAAGTCTATTACTATGTATTTTTGACACAGTAATATAAATGAAGAATTTATATTTTTAAAATGGTAGTCAGGTAGAGGAACTAATGATTTTGTTTTCTCTTCCTGACCGCTTGTATTGATGCCCACAATAAACTAGAAGAGTAACCTTGCTAAAACTGTATTGTACTATGTTGGTACACACACGTGATGCAGAATAGATCTGCTTTAAAGAAAATTGAAGAACGAAATGTTGTTGGTCATTGGTCATTGTTTTTAACTGAAGACATGAGATTACATCTGCAGTAAACCATAAGTGAACCAGAATTTCCCTCACATACACACACACACACACAGTTTTGTCTAATGAAAGTTTTGGTGTGCGTATTTATAATTATCAGTATCTCTTTCATAAAAAGGTAGAGTAGAAATGACACTTGCTTCAAGTACATTAATAAAACCACATTTTGAAATTGCCATGGGCCTTGACTATATTATATACTGGTTCTAATTAGTGGTTAATTATTTGTTGGAAATAATAGTATTCACAATTATAGGAAAAAAGTCTTTAAGTCAGGTGTTTAATACGTGGCATTCGTCCGTTTTGCATCCTTCAGATCTAATTGTCGATGGCATTAACTCGTGTTTCTGTTTTGCAGTCCCTTGTTTTCAGCAGCCACTGTACGGCAGTGAGTGGCTACTCAGACCAGGTCATCCACCAGCGGAGAGCTGCCGCCTCGCTTCGTTGCTGCCTGCTCACTGAGCTGCCGTCTTTTTTGTGTGTGGCCAGCCCACGGGTAAGTGCCGTGGGAGGGAAGATCAAAGTAGATAGTATTTAAAGAAATAAACCAATTTTCAAGGGATCCGTTTCGTAAACAGAACTGTATTAAGCTATTTGGACCCTGAGAAGTATGTAAACCCTCAGTACTTAAAAAGGAGAACATCTACAGTCTTGGCCTTCCCAAGACAACACTTGTTCCTTTACGTTTGTTGGAGAATAGTTGTGTGGTGGATGTGAGTGGCTTCTTTCCCTGCCACGTTTCTCCCGTCTAGTTCCTCTCATTTAGTCAGGGTCTCTACACTACAATGCAGACAAGCCATCTGTCAGGTTGATTATCACCCAGCAGCCAAGTCAGGGGCAGTGGAATATTTCAAAAGGAGGGGGAGCTGTTTGTCATCCACATTGAGGTTTTTGAGGGTTTTTCATAGAAGGGAGCCAGATTGAGGAAGAGATTTGATCTGGCCTTATCGCCTCAGTACAGTCTCCAAATAACAAAAGGAAACGTAACGCTCCAACATCAAGAAACGTCTCAGTCCGATGTTTCCTAGCTTTCCCAAGCACGTCTGCCTGGACTGTGGTTCTCAGGTATGCCCCACCTGAACCGTGACTCTGGCATCTTATTCCGCATTCATTAGTCTTGTTTGCAGATTGGGAGTAATCTTCTTTGGCAGCTTCAGCTTTGAAAAGCTGTTTGGCTCCTTCCTAAGGCGCCATAGATCAAAACAGGGTGCGTCTGTGATTGCTGACAGCATTACTGCAGAGGCTTCCCTTGGCACACTGGGGTTAGTGACTTTGCTTACATTGTCCACCCCCTTTCCTATCCTTGTTGATCAGAGCCAAGCAAAAGCACGCTCCTTGTATCCATGAAGAAGTATGTGAAGAGAGAGGCAGAATAGAGATGTGGCCAGCCTGTGGTTAAAACAAAACAAATTTCTGTCGTCTGGTTTCCTTTCGCCATGAGGGGCAGCTTTCAGTTAGCCAGGAGGCTCTAAGAGGCTGATATTTCTCACCCTCCTATGTTTTTATCTTGTTTTCTCCACTCATCCTAGCAGGTCTACCATTTTCATAATTTTATTCCAAAAGGAGCCTTCTGAATCTTCCTTATTGATATTTTTCTATTATTATTTATATTAGCTTGCATTTTATTAGGTTTATTACTTTATTATCAGAGGACAGAATTTGGGAGCGGCTCTAAACAAAGATGTTAAATGGAAATGGGATAATAGTATTGAGTCCCATTGACTCCTACTTGCCTAGAGTTCTTTCTGCTGATCCTGTGCTACGTGAACTTGATTCCTTTGCCACCGTCAGCTTTGTTTGGTTTCTGTTGGCTATCCAGAAATTATTTGGATTTTTAATGTGTCCTGCTCTCCCAGAGCGTTCTTGGTTTAGAAGCTGAACTTGATGCAGGAAAGTGCACTTTTTCTGGGGTGCGTGTAGCGCCGAGTGCTTCCGTAGAAGGCAGCCTGCAGCTTCGTAGCTGCCTGTGTGACTTTGTTCTCATTCTCTTGCTCTGATCTGTGTGTACAGACAGGCCGAATAAGAAGTCTCGATCTCTGAGTAAGAGTTGTCAAGACACGTTTACTTCTTAGATTCCCCTTGTTTTATAGAGCCACTAAAAAGTGAACTACCTGAGACCATAATTCATTTATGGACATAAAAATTTTCCATTGTTACCAGCCAGAGCTCCCAACTCTCATGAACAGCGCCACTGTCCCAGCATACTCACACATGCATACCCCCAGTGTACTTCTTCGTTGTTGTTTTCAAAGGAGCCGGAGTCTGTCTTGCCTAGAGCTGCGCTTTTCCTAAAGAACAGTAAACCGGAGCTTGGAGAAGACCGTAATAGCCATTAATGTGTGACAGCAGGCAGGGAGCAGGAGAAGGCTTTTGTCATTTGGCTGAAGGGTTGCTCCCACACATCCACCTTTCCTGTTGGCCCCTCTACCCATGTTTGTCTTAGAGTTTCTTCACATGGTGTATGTTAAACGTGAAAATGGGGCAACTATACCATGTTACGAGGACAGGCGGAAGAGGTTTCAACATCTCTGAGAAGTTCATACACACAAGTTCTCACCTTTCACACCAGGCCTGCAGTGTGAACAAGGCAGCATTTCATGAGATGAATTCATTATCTTATATTGGTTTTCTAACTTACCTGTGATGGGGATCAAGAAACTGTTTACCTTTGAAGCCTCAATCTTGGCCTTGAGTTAAGACAATTACCCTGTCATGTACTATGAAAACTTACAGTCAGTTCGGAAGGAACTGTGCCACTAAGGAAGAAATGATAGGAGCTATTTTCATATTAGCTGAGGAAATGCTTCTATAGGGTTAATAAACTAAGACCCTGGGAATTCATCTTAGCAAAAACTGCAGCGCTTGGAGCGGTTCCGCTTCCTAAGCTAGGGCAGGAATACGCGTCTCCTTGGGACGGACGCAGGGAATGCCTGAGGAGACAGCCCGTGAAGGTACTGGGGTTTAGGAGGTTAATGAAGCGAGCAGCGGGGGCTAGCTCACGTAGGGCTAAAGGGAGCATGGATTTCCATTTGCAGGAGGGAAGAATGTCATGCCATGCTTCATCTCACCGGCTTTGAAGCAATCAGGAAAGCCACTGGGGTTAGCCGAACACGTGGAGGCTGTTTAGGATAGAGCTGGCTTGAAAAGCAGGATTTATTCTAAGCAGAAGTGGACTCTTTCCCCCGCTTTTGGACCTCATTAGTACACTGCTTACGTACTTACTGCATGATATTCTATGATCCTGCATCTATCTTGATCCAGGGCTCTTGGCCAAAGAAGCTTATCGAAACATTAAAAAATATTTCACTGAGAAATGTGTCTTGCAGACCTCCAAGTATTCAACCCTAGACTTGGAAAGATGTCAGCAAAAGGAACATTGAAAAGCAAGTGAAAGTTTATAGCTGGAAAAAGTTGTTTTGTTTCAAAACTGTATAGAGAGTGCCTAGAAGAGAGTCACAGACAGGAAGACCTTTCTTCTCTGTGTTACTTTTCTCCCCATTCCTCACGCTGAGTCTCTAGCTTTTGGTTTTTGATCCTGAGGCTACGGGTCCAAAGTCTTTATGTCTATAAACAATTTCAATATGAGTTCTACTTTTTTACAAAAAAAAATAATACATCGAAGCCGTTATCTTTGAATGTAAAATTGGTCAGCATGAGCCTTTCATTAGAAAAGACTAAATATACTTTGCTCATGCAAGAGCGCCTGCTCTTTGGGATATACAGAACTGGCCATACTTCAGTAGTCCAGACCGCTGGTTCTTTAGCTGTCTTTATGGAAGCGTAGCTGCTGTTGATTGTGAGATTCTGGGACTCACATCCTAGTTGAAGGTGTCTGCTCTGGCCGGGATCTGCAGGGCAACCACTAGGATAAACCATAGCAGGAGGAGACCCAATTTTTATCCAGCTGTTTTTCAGTCTTTATTTGCATGTGTTCAAGTTTCAATGGAAATAATAAATAACTTGGAAGCAAGAGAATAAACTCCTTGTGGAAAGGGTAAAGGTGGTATGAGATTATCTAAAACTGCCCCAAGTACTGTCTGATAAACTGATTTCTGTGGTGAGCCTGTCTGGGTTTTGGAGCTTCAGGAGCCCAGTTTGCTGTGACCCTCTGTAGTTTTGCATATGGGCCATAGATGGCACTGCTCCCTAGCAAACCCAATTCAGCGTCATCTGCAACCCAGAGCAGTGAGTTCTCTGGCTGTTGCTGGATGATGCTGTTTCTCTGTTCTTGGTATCATCTTGTCCCCAACAGAAGCATCTGCAACACCATAGTCTCTATAGACAGCTGACTGACTGTTTATAAACCCCAAGGCAGTATTTTTCAAGATGTGGCTTGAGGTCTTGGGATACTTGTTAAAAATACAGACCTATTGGCCCTTCCTTAGACCTTCTGGACAAAATTTGCACTTTTGACCAACTCCCAGAGAGGTTCTTGTGCATATAAAAACTTGAGAACCATTGCCTTAAACATGGATTGGTATGAAAATTGAAAAATTAACAGCAGGATAGAGGGATCTTCTGAAATGCCTGACTTCTAAGAAATAAAAAAAAAAAAAAAAATGTTGCTGTTGAGTCGATTCCGACTCATAGCAACCCTATAGGACAGAGTAGAACTGCCTCATAGAGTTTCCAAGGAGCGCCTGGTGGATTTGAGCTGCCGACCTTTTGGTTAGCAGCTGAGCTCTTAAGCACTGCGCCACCAGGGTTTCCCTAAGAAGTAATAGAACTACCTACATAGGAGTTGTACTACCAGTGTTTTATGCTCTAATTTCTCCCTCACCTCTGCCCTTGCACCATTTACTCAGTTTCTCCTTATCGGTCTAATTCCAACGTTCTTCTAAGCAATTTACTCATTCTAATGCACTTTTAGCATTTTTTCAACCTGGGCTTGGCAGATAATCACAGCCTCCAGATTTTAACGAGAGGTAGCCTTGTCATCTTCACCAAGCTCCTTATCAAATGATTTCACAGCCATCTGAACACAGCTACTTATTAGAGTACAAATAAACCCAGATAGCCGGAGAAGGATAAAGACCATGTTTCTAAATTGGCAGGAGTCCTGTACTCCATTGCGGGGGGCAGGAGGTGTTCAACATTTGACTGTTACTGGGCTGCACCTTGTGGTGAGAGAAAATTGGTGGGTAGACTCTGCCCTTGTAGGAAATACATCTGCTACTCCCCCAAGCTTATAGCCAGAAAGAAGGGTCTTTAATCTTTCTTCCCACTAGGTTTGTCAGTCAGCAGTCTGGTTAAGGAAGAGCAGAAAGAAGTGCTTTGCTACAAAAACATTGAAGATAGCTTCAAAACTAAATACTCTTCAGATTTTTTCACGATGACTGACTAGCTCTTTTTCTGGCATCACTATCCTCTGTATGGCTAATAGATCTTTGCCAGAAGCAGTGTCCAAAAATGCAGGGAAGTGGCCAAGTGGAAAGATGTATTAGATACATGAGTAGGTAGGACGGTCAGTTGGTCGATCAGTCGACTCATCAGTAGATAGATAAAACAGTATTATTCCTAACCTGGTTTCCCAGTTCATCTGCAAACTTCAGCTCTTTGGATCTTTAGTTTGTTTGCAGGTTTGTGTTATAAGAGATTGGCCTTTCACCTGGGGAAGCTTACTGAGTCAGTTTTAGGGACAGCTCACTTTGTCAGAACCAGGGTCATTTAAAACCACTAGCCTCAGAGTTATCCACATTAGTCTGATTTCAAATTTGAGGTTCAGAAAGCTTATTATGTGTAAGATGTGAAAGGGCCACTCACGTGTATCTCTCACGGCAGGTCACCGCGGTGCCGTTGGATTCTTACTGCAATGACCGAAGTGCGGAGTACGAGCGGCGCGTGCTGAAGGAAGGAGGGAGTCTGGCAGCCAGGCAGTGTTTGTTGAATGGGGCCCCTGAACTGGCTGCAGACTGGCTAAATCGGCGCTCCCAGTTCTTCCCAGAGCCAGCCGGAGGACTGTGGAGCATCAGGCCTCAGAACGGCTGGTCTTTCATCAGGATTCCAGGTGAGTCCTCTGTCTTCTTGGAATATATTCCCAGCCTTGGCGGGGGAGAACCAATGAGGTATTCTAGGTGGTGATTTCAGACACTCGGAATTCAAAGCTCTTGAGGTTTCTACTTCTTCCTTTGCCTTTTCCTTTTTTTCCCACCCTCATTTGGTAACATACAGGTAAGAATGCTTAAGTAACTTGTGACTTGAGTGGAGAGAGAAATGTTTTCGAGATTTGTGCTTAAATACTGTGCTTTGGTGAGCTTACAGCTGAGAAAGGAACACCATTCTTTAAAAGGGAAAAAAAACAAACCTCCAAGAAGGGCTTTAGGCCAAGTTGAGTACATAAGGTTGTCTTGTGCCATGGCCATTGGAATGAATGAGAATGTCGTCACTCTACAGAAAGCCCAGCTTAAGTAGCATAAACAGTGTCCTGCACGAAGCACTCGAGATCTGAATGATAATGAGAGGAAAAACAGCGTTTTGTGCCAAAATGCTAGCAGATTCCCAGACCCCCTAGGGTCAAGGTCCAGGGTTGGAAGGAAACTGGGTTTTCATCTTTGCTTTAGTGAGACTGCTTTTAAGGAAATTGAACAGAAATGGTTTATAGGCTCATGTTCTTTCCTTACACCTGCTGACACACTTGGGCAACACTGTTAGTTTCAGTTGTCCGGAGTCTGACACTGAGATTGTACCCATCTTACTGGCGTGTAGTGGAAGTAGGTTAGAGCTCCGGTAAGCGTTCAGAAGGGAGAATTCGCTCTTCCTAAGAGATAACCGGCTTCCAGTGTTTACAGCCTGGTTTTCCCATTTATTGTTAACTTTGTGAAGGGTCAAGGGGCTACAGGTCAACCTGTTAGTAGCCTTGGGGGTGCCTGGACTGGAAGATGCCTTCTTAGGTCAATGAGCGTGGTAGTGTATATGGGCTCACAGCTGACCTAGAACACATACAAGCATGGATAAAGGTAAGTTGTTTGAATATAAGGGGAACCCAGATGTATACGGAAGGCTAGTGGGAGTAGAGGGGTTGAATCCAGCAGGTCATGGAAACCGCAGAGGCCCAGGCAGGAGGTGGGTACAAGAGTGAAAGAAGCTGGATAGCACCTTATGTCTTCTCTCTCCCTTCTCCATTCGGGCTCTTAAGTTCCCAGTACAGGAGTAGCAGGCTTATTGCTGGCGCTGTGGGAATCTCTTGTGGCTTTTCCTGTTCTTTGAAAGAAAAATGGACCTTGTTTAAATAGCAGGAAGCGTCTGAGTTCTTTTAGCATCGATAAAAAGCACCAGCCTTACTGGCTGTTTATTGTGAGAACTGACCATCTCCTCACTGACCCCATTGTGCTCTGTAGACTGGCTGGAGCAGGGCCGCGGGGGGTGGGTCACTGAAACCTGTATTTTATCTCTCTTTCCTCAATACTTTCACATTTTCTGTTTCCCTGGGAAGTGTTGGTTCTGTTACGTTCTTGAGACTGACCAAAATTTCCTGGACTTAACACCTTGAATGAGTCTCCACGTTTTATTAGGAGAAGAATGTACCATTCCTTCAAAAGTTCCATCATAGCCCCCCTCAGCACTACCCCCAGCTTGGAAGAGGGAGATATTTAATCTACCCTGATTTTATATCTCTGGACTGCATTCATTTTGTTTTGTTTCTGAACAGGATCTTACACTGTGGACAGTGAGAGCCTGTATCTAACTAAGTATAAATACCGAGATTATATGGCCTGTTGGGCAGGGTAGGATAGGTTGTTCACTTTGACATTTTTTGAGCTCCTATTTTAAAGACGGGGCTGGGTATACGTTTGACTCGGCAGAATCAGCCTGATTTCTAGGGACTTGTGCTCCTCCTGGCCCTGCGCCCTGCTAGCACCAGGAGGTGCTCTTGTGCAGGCAGCTGGGTGGCTCTTGAAAAGTTGGGTAATGGATGCAGGTGCAGAAAAGACCAGCACCTTCAGAGAAACCTATTTGCTGAAGTGTTCTAAGGCTACTGTTTCTTCTTAGGCCTTTCCTTCAGGAATGTTAGGCTAAGACCAGTCCGAAGAAGTCAAGTCCATCCGCCTTCACCTCCCCCGCCTGCACAATAAGTGGTCAACAATCGCTATCACTTCTTGCTTCCTTCAGGCGCATCAGAGCCCTGTCCTTATAAGTTGTATGCCTATCTTCATGTCTAAGCCTTCCTAATCCTGAGCATCAGTTCATTCTAGTTATCTTGAATTTGGGAGGCAAGAGTGTGAAAATCATTGAATCTTGGATTTTGAGATGAAGCTTCTCAAAATTCATATTTTTACATACAGAAGGTAGGTTTGTATACAATTAAATATTTGTGCTGAGGGAGTATGTCTGAATGGAGAGAAGGTAAGCAGGCTGCAGAGATCTGATGAGCTTAGTTTGCCCAGTCTCACTCAATGGCTGAAAAATAATATGGGCTTCTTTTTTACCTTGCTGTGCTTTTAATGAGAAAAGAAAGAAACTTGCTGTCTGAAGTTGATTGGTAGCTCTATGGGGAATGTTTAGAAGCTATCAGAATGAGAGAATTCCAGGAAATCCAATTAAAGGAGAAGGATAATTGTAACAAGAAGAAAATCTTGAAGTTGTTATGAAATCGTTGCTGCCTGATCAGACTTGGGATTTATACAAGCCTGCTAGTCTGGAGCCAGGCAGAGGACTTAGCAGTCAGCTCTGTCCCAGCTGCAGTCATTTGATTGTGTTGGTAAGGAGACCAACAAAAAGAAGAGCATTTCAATAACCTAAACAGGACCAAACAAAGAGGCTGAAGAAAGCTGTGTGCCACAGCATCAGGGGAGGGGTAGCGGGGAGATGTGCCTGGCAGCGTTCCGCAGGTGGGAACAGGCACGCTACAGCCTGGAGGAGTGAGCATCCAGGATCTGTGGCTTTGTAACAGAAACAGAGTGCCTGATGATTTGTTATGGTGCCATCAGCACATCCGTTCTTGTTCAGTTTATACAATAATCGTACACTTGGCAAACAGTGGCGAGAACAGCGAATTGACCGTTGAGAACTCTTGGATTGCTCTCAGCAGTAAGTCTCTGCAATTCTGAGGAAAAGCCATCATTCAGACCCAGACTAAGGACGGACAGTGTGTTTCTCTTAGCCATTTTGTTTTTCACTTTTGGTTGTTGGTTGTTTACATGACACTCCTGTCCTTTCTTCCCCGTTTGTGTCCCACGGTCCCTTCCACATGTCCTCTCAAATCCCATAGCCCCTTACGCCTCATCTCCTCCCCTTGTGATGGCAACAATTGTTCAGGGTATGTTTATGGACCCAGTCTGCAAACAGGAAGCTGCTTCCTGGAATATGATGGGAGTTGAATGATCCTGAATGGATAAGAGATGAAGATTTGTGAGTTGAGTGTTCTTTCAAGATCTCTGGCTGAAATGCTTTATTCTTAAATTAAAAAAAAAAAAAAAAAAAAAAACTGGGAAGAGGAAGGAGAAAGCACAAGTTAATGAGTGAAAGCAGCTTGTTTTCACAGAAACCCAAAGGCAGGCTTTCTGAAAAGCCACCAGCCCTGGTGTCTTTATTGAATTACAACTTGGGATAATGACATCTACCAGCCCACCTACTTGAAATCATCCAGAAAAGGGTATTTTGGTTTATTTAAAAAAAAAAAAAAAAGTGGGTGGCTATGTTGATTTGCAATCCTCGGTGTGTCAGTGTCTGTAAGGACTGGCAAGAGCAGCCTTTGTTTCTTCACACCCTCCTGCTTTCAGGGGTAAACCGTGTAACTGTAAAACTCGCAGAAGCAGGTATCTGGAGATAGAATGAACTGACAGCAGAAACTGTGTGAACAGCAACATGGACCTGGTATCTGCCAGGTGAGGCTGCAGAGCAGGGACGCTGTCCAGTGCCTCAGCTGCAGATGTCTGATGGGGAGCTGTCAGGTGGGAGGGAACCTACGCTGCCCTCATTCATGATGTGTCTTCGCAGAACACTGCTGGAGACATGGTTTTAATGGTGCTTTGCATTCTTCCTCTAGAGCGCTTTCCTGCTCTCATGCTGACAAGCATCCTGGTGGTAGCAGTTTTGGCTGCATACAGCTTTGCAGTCAGTGATTTTGCTGCTTCAATTAAATAGTTTCCCCCTCACCCTTTTTCTTCTCCCCAGGCAAGGAGAGCCTCATCACTGACAGTGGAAAGCTGTATGCCCTTGATGTCCTGCTGACTCGGCTCAAGTCTCAAGGACATAGGGTCCTTATCTACTCCCAGATGACCAGGATGATAGACCTGCTGGAGGTAGGAGAGAGAGACCTTGGGGACCTAGTCCAGCTTTACATTTAACTTATAGGAATCAGATGTCCCTGTAATGCCAGTCCTGCTTAATGGGAACCCCAGAACTCCTCTTTGTGATTGTAGTCTATAAAGGAAGCAGAAGCAGCCCCGGCAGGTGTGGGAGTATGCAAAGTACCTCTGTCTCCCATAGCAACAAATTAGAACACCCCCTTAGTTTCCTCCTTTACTGGGGAGGACATTCCCTAGTTTTAAAGTACATCAGCGCCTAGGAATTTTCTTTAAAAATCCTCTGAAATCTATATGGAAAACAAGATTGTGGGCATTGGTTTTTTGTGTAAAAATTGGAGAGCTCTTCAACCTGAGTTAGTGTAGTAGTTCTCAACCTGACTGCATATCGCAGTCACCCAGGGAGTTTTAAAAAATACTGATGCCTAATCCCGTCCCCAGAGAGTTTTCTTCAGTAGGTCTCGACTGAGGCCTGGGCATCAGGAGGTTTCAGAGCTCTGGAGGTGCTTCTAATCTGTAACTAAGGTTGACCTCCACGGGCTTAGTGGTGAAAGATACAGTTGTGTTCCACTGCACAAGGCAGCTTTTGTTTCTTTCATCGTTTGTATGTTGAGGTTCTCCCTGTGTGCTTGTCTGAGCACTGTAGTGGCTTCTTATTTGAGGGAGAAGTGGAGAGAATGAAAATGAGGACAAATAATCACAAACCACTGGAGTCTTTAGTGTAAGAAAGTTGGAAAGCCACTGGTTGAGATGCTAAAGCACCTGATGTCACCGTCTCACCTTGCTACTCCCTTGGACTGTGATCGTCTCTATCCAGGAATAAGGGAATAGAGACCGTATCAGTGCAGCAAGGAAGGGTTTTTAGGCTTTCTGGAAGCCAAAGCTGACTTGCTGAATTTTGCAATGAATTTATCTGAACTGAGTGACCGGCTCCTTTTCATTATCTGACAGCTTCTTTTCAAAAGAGACATAACAAGTGATTTTTTAGGTCAATTTATCAGTAAGTCTCAAGTTGTGTGTAAACAGTGCTTAGTCTCTTGAATGCTGTCGACAGGCCCAACTTTCTGGTTTGTATTATGAGTAGGTCACCTATTTGCAAATGATGGAAAAATGCTAATACGTGACTAAGTTACTATAAGAAAAGTGATTAAGCCATTGTGTTTGGTATAAATCTTGACTACATTAAAGGCCCTAATGCAATAATTTAAAAATAAAAGGACTACCTGTACCTCTGATGTTCTGTTCAAGCCAAATGATGCCACCAGCCTAAACAATATGAGTATCTTTCCTACAGTGGGACTCTTTTTGGATAAAGTGTACTTGCCTTGTCGTGAAGAGCCAGGGAAAAATAGATGAAGTCGTCATCTTCAGCTGCTAAGAATTACAGAAAAAGCAATATGCTAAGTAAAGCAGGTGGTCTTTCTTTTCCAGGGCTCTATCAGTATATTGTAGAGTTCTAAAGGTTTACGAATATTAAAGGAACGTTCCAAGGGAAAGTGGGTTAGCCACCAGAAAATAAACTCTCTCTGTTAGGGGAGGTGAGTTTGAGTTTGAAACAGCACTTGTTCTGTGTATTGCACTTCTAGGTACTTATTAAATATTACCAAAATAAGTCATTCAAGGGAGAATAACAAGTTTTGTTCAGGGTGAGTGCTGTAAGCCCCACCCATCAGGGTCACTTCACATCTGTTTGTAATCTAGTGGTTATTTTGGTGGGAGTGGACTCCGGACGGTGGGTAAGTGCTCGGCTGCTAAGCGAAATTGGCAGTTTGAACCCACCAGCTACTCCATGGGAGAAAGATGAGGCAGTCTGCTCCCATAAAGATTTACAACCTTGGAAACCCTATGGGGCAGTCCTACTTCGTCCTAGAGGGCCCCTGTGAGTTGGAATCAACTGGATGGCAATGGGTTTGGTTTTGGGTTTGGCTGGACTTGGTGGATAGGCTTTGTAAACAAGGCAGCTTGCAAATCTTTGAATGTAGATACTTCTCTCTGCGGGGAATTCTGAATTAGGGAAAAGCAGATTCAAAGCCTGAATTTCCCAACTGCTGACATTCCTCAGCCATGTGTACAACATGCATCTAGGGTTCCAGAGCCAGAAAATGCTGTGACTGTTGGTTTTACTGAGAAACCAGAATGAAACTGTCGTCTGATGCCCCTAATACTGTTGTATCCTTTCCTCCTTCAGCGTTGCATTTCCTGAAAATTCTGTTTGTTTGTTTTAATATTATTTACTCAAATGAACCACATTCTCTATTCCAAGAGATTAGTCTTCAAAATTTATTTTGTGGGCATGAAATTACAGTGCTCACAATATTTAGTATTTATCTAATCATTTATTGAAATGTAAATGTATTGTGGATCTTGGGATAGTGCAGGGTTAGGTTGGGAGCTCTACATTTCCTTACCTTTCAAAGAGTAATATGAGTTTTCCAGTCACTTTTATAACGGAAGCTTTCAGTGTAAACATTCGTTAGAGCCATGTTTCAGTCGTAAAGCGTGGCCTGGTGCATGAACCCTAAGGACCATGTTATAGGAAAGCCCTTCTGTATAGATGCTTTCTGTTGAGTATACTTGACGTTTTCTTTAAAAACATACCTTGACCCTCGCCTTGCTTCTTCATTCTCAGAGTTGTTTTTTTCTTCCAGGATTCTCTTTTTTTTTCTTGACATCTTTTACCCTGTAATCAGACAGGAAAAGAAAAGCTTCCAATAAAGCAGGAATTAGAAACTCATATAGGCACATTGAAGGTCTGTTGTGTAGCCGTTGAACACGTCAGCATCTCTCTTTCATCCAGCGACTGTTTTGTTTCTTTATTCTGTGCCTTAGCCCCAGCTATCTGTTTGTCTGTCTGTTTCTAGGACTCAGAAGAACTAGAAGACAGTAAAAATTCACATACTTCTATTTGGCCAGGTCCCCACTCTGAGAAACACTAGTTGTGGGCACCTATTATTTACTCAGTGTTTTCTAAAGCGATTGATAGCCGCCTCCTTCTTTTGGGTAAAAATCTGGCTTTAATGTAAATTTCTTTTATATATATCAGATCTTCTTCCCAATAGAATTCTGTATTCAGAAATGTTTTCTCCTTTCACATGGTCTCCAAATAATAGTTCTAGCAAGGGGATAAGAAAGGAGACTGCCTTATTTCCAGGGCCAGAAATGTTTAGTGTGCCATGGGCAGGAGTCAAGGTCATAAATTGGGGAGGATGTGGTAGATCACGAAGTGTTGTGTTACAGTTTGTTTTATATTTACTGGGTCTTGCTGCTGGGGGTGCTATGGAAACAGACATGTTTCCTGGGCGGTTGAGATGGTGGTGTCCAGCTAGATGTCAGACAGAACTTTTGCTGCCGCCACCACTTGTACCCTCATCCAAAGTTATTTTCTTAGTTGGGAACACTCTTCTTCCCCCCGTCCCTGCCCCTGCCTCTGCCTCCTCGCCCCCAAAGTCTAGTAGTTGCAGAGAGCTTATAACACATTACAGATGACTTACAGTCTCTGGGTTTTCTCTTTTGAGATTCATTCCTCTTGCATCAAGCAACTGAGTCTGTAGTTTCAGGAACTAAGCCACTCCGCTGACTATTTTCTATGCAGTACGAAAGAACGTGGAAAGGGTCAGCCAGCTGATGCTGTATGTGGTGTGATTGTTAAATATTGAAACCCAGACAAATCTTTAACTGCACCAGTACATGAAAATAATGCAACCCAGAATTAAATCCAGAGAATCATAGCTAATGATGACATTTGAGACACTGGGTTGTGTAACTTGCCTAGTCAGCCATCCAAGTGTAGCACCTCACTGGGGAGGGATTCACCCTGAACAGACGTTCTGTCGTCTATGATCTGGCTTCTCTTAGAACTTCAGATTACCTTTGGGAGCTCTGATTCTGAACATGTTGGAAAGTTGGGCATCCTAAAGCTGCCCCATGGAATGAAAAGCAAATTTGGATCACTATTAACTGAGGTTTTCATTAGCTCTTAGGAATGAGAAGAAAATTTGCCAGCTTACAATCACGCTATTTATATTCTTAATTCAACTTTTTTGTGTTTGCCAGCTATGAGTAAGGCATTGTGCTAGGCAGATGCAAATACTCTTTAAACGTGATAATTTGACTTCAAGGAATGTGTCTTGAGGAGGAAACATGTTCACACACAAAGAACCGTCAAGTGAACCCTGATGCTGGTAACAAAAATGAAGCGTAAAAACAGAGCTGAGAATAGCAAAGCAGATACGTTTCTTTCTGAGTCCCTCGAGGAAGACGTCACATAGACAGTGACGTCTGAACTGGACTGAAATAGAATTTCAGCCATCAGCAAGAAGGGGATTCCGTCCTAAGGAAGCCAGATATAAAAAGGTACAAGACATTTGGGGGAAGTAGTCCAGTGTGACTGGAGTATATGGTCAGGAGGAAAGGAAATAACACAGGTAGGCTAAAGATCTGCCTGTCTCGATCATGCTGAGTTCTTCTCCCGAATTGTTTTATCACAGTGAAATCGGGTTAAAATGAACATCAGAAGCAGCTTTGACATAGAAGAGAAGTTTCAGAATGGAAAGTTGGTGATGGAATATCTAAACCTTTGCCTTTACTTTTTTTAAGTGCCCGATTATGACTTCTTTATGATGATGATGCTGTTGATGGATGGAGGTTGTATAAGGACAATATATTAAGAACCTTAGGATTAATGAGGTTCCCCCCACCTTCTTTTCCTCTAGTAGCTGGTGAGCTGCTCTTCCATCAGGGAAGCAGTAGAGGAGTTAAACCAAGGGCCCTAGAACCAGTCTGCTTGATTTCCAAGTCTAGCTGTATCACCTACTGCCTGGGTCACTTTTAGTCCCCCTACCCAACATGTGTAAAATGGAGGTGATAAGGAGGACACCCGCCTTCAAGGCTGCTGCGAGGATTCAATAAGCTAAACTAAACTCACTGCCCAACTCATAGTGACCCTCTGGGACCGAGCAGAACTGCCCGATAGGGCTTCCGAGGCTGTCAGTCTTTACGGAAGCAGACCACCACACCTTTTTCCTATGGAGCGGCTGGTGGTTGGAGCTGTCAGCCTTTCAGCTAGCAGCTGAGCGCTTAATCACTGTGCCACCAAGGCTCCTTGGATAAGCTAAACCAGGTGAATTATATAGAACAATGAATGTCACCTAGTAAATGCTAGTCATCTTCCTCATCACCACTGCTCCTTGAAGTGTTACACCGCTGGGTACGGGAATATTTGTTTGTATTTAGTATGCTTTAAAGAAGTGAGATGGCGTTTGCCTTCTGTCTTGGGTTATGCTTACACTTCTGTTTGCATGACACTGCTTAAAAAGTAGGGCTTACAAGGGTGTGATCCAGAACTCACCTGTCTTCTCAACTTGTATTCTGTTTTATTTATTAGAGGGGCTCAACTTAAGGTTTTGCTTGTTAAAAAAAAAAAAATTCCAGTGCTTTAAAAATAGCTGAAGAATGTGTTCTACATCAGTGTTTCTCACAGTTAACTGCTTTCAAATCACACATGTTGTTAAATTGCAAATTCTGATTCACGAGGTGTGGGATGTGGCCCTCAGTTCTGCATGTTAGCAGACTCCCAGGTGATGTCAGTGCTGTTTATCTCGGGCCTCACTGAATCGCAAGATCCTAGGAGACTCGGCCCTGCTCTCCCTTTTGTAGCAGTTGTTCTCAGCTGCAGATGCAGAGTATCTTTCAAAATCATCTGCGGAGATTTTAAAAATAAACCCGTTCAGGCCCTAGCCCAGACTGAACAGTCAGAATCCCTGGGTCGGGTTCAGGCACGTGGATTTGTTAATCCTGGTTGCGAGTCACTACTCTGTGCCAGGGGAGTATCTTGTCCATACCCTTGGGCGTTGTCAATAACTTTTAAAATAAAATGGTATCTGCTAGAACTGTATAGACCTCAAGACTTCCTAAATTTTAAAGGCTATAATTTTTACTTTATTAGTGAAAGCAGTATTATAGCTTACTTTCTATGGTTAGTAGTTAGTGATCCACAAGAGTCCCCTTGGGAGTACTAGTGTTTGCTTGTTTAATCAAAGGACACTAAATTATAAGACCTCTAGGAGGGGAAGGAGGACTGCATTGGGTTTCTCTTTTCTCCTTCTTTAAATGGATAAAAGGAATTCTATTTGCTTTGCAAGACTCCAGGATCCTTTTCCGACCTTTCCCTAAATACAAAAACGGAGCATGGATGGAGGACACTGTTGGTTTCTACAGAGTGCCTAGTGTAAGGAAGGGTTTGGTATTGCTGTTTTTTCTGTCCCGTAACCCCTCTTTAATGCACAGGAGTACTAAGCATGACATAGTTACAGAAAACCACAGTAATGTCAAACTAATCGTCCAACAGCAGTCTTCAAACACGAGAGTAAATTATAGAGGATTTGGGGATGACTGGGAATAATTGTATCATTTTTAAAATATCTGGCTGTAAAATTTAGCAAATGGACAGTTTCTTATTAACCTGGTCTCAGCTGCTGGCTTTGAAAACAATAAAGCAAGGCTCTTAAGATGGATCTTAGAAAACCCTTTGGTGTAGAGATGGGTGAGTTGGAGATAGTTTTTTTGTTTGTTTTTTGAGGTAAGATTTTTAACAAATTTTCATAAGGTCTATAAATGCTGTAAAACATTTGTTGTTAGAATTTTTTTCTGACAAAATAGAATTGAATTGTATACTAAGTCATTAGATGTTTGTCGGATGGTAAGAAAAGCTGAACTAAGAATGGAAGTGGTACAGTTCCGGAAGCTAAATCGAAAGAAGTTAGGGATTTCTTCCAAAATGAACATTTGATTATATTAAGTAACTTTTCTAAACAGCCTGGAATTTTAGAGAGACTTCTAGAATAGCTTTCATAAAAGCAGAATTTGTTAATAGGCAAAATATTGAATTGCTTTTTTAGCTCAGTCTTTATCTTTTAGGTGTTTTTTTATGCGTAGGGATGTAGACTTTCCTCTGTTCAGCTTTTATATGGTTTTTTCCATGTCTGTTTACTTACTGTTTTGCAGCTGTTTACTAAAGTAGAATCTAAATTCATTTGAGCCTTCTGAAATCCCACTGCTCCCTTGCATGGGAAAGCTAAGGCTTGGAGCAATAAAAGGAAAAGCTTCACTCCTGTCATCTCAGTAACAGCTTTTCTGTAATCAGGGTTGGCTTGATTATCGACTGGGATTAATAATCCCTAGTGTTGTGCTAAGGAGCGCTGGTGGCACAGTGGTTAAGCACTCAGCTGCTAACCAGAAGTCCGGAAGTTTGCACCCACCAGCCACATGGTGGGAGAAACCTGTGGCAGTCTGCTTCCGTAGACTTTAACAGCCGTGGAAACCTTACGGGTCGGTTCTGCTCTGACATGTAGGGTCACCACGAGTCAGAATTGACTCGGTGGCAACAGGTTGGGTTTGGTGGTGGTGTGCTGACCTTGATACATAAAAGATGTGAGCAGCAAGGTTTACAAGAAGATTCATTCATCAGTGCTCTCACGAGGTTAGATGTTCTGGTTTAAATGCAAAAGAGTACCTGTGCAAGAAACCCACCTTTTTGCTAAAATCCAAATCTGTAGCACGTTTCTCTGTAAACTGTCTTCTGTAGTCTGGTTATTTTTTTCTGTTTCTGGATGGCAGCGTTCCCTGATTGGATCAACTGCCAAGGTATACCAGCTGCTGTTGAGTCATTCTGGCTCATGGTGACCCCACGTGTGTTAGAGTAGAACTGCGCTCCACTGGTTTTTAATGGCGATTTTTTCGAAAGTAGATCACCAGGCCTTTTTTTCGAGGTGCCTCTGGGTGTACGCAGACCTCCAACCTTTCAGTTAGGAGGCAGGCACAGTAACCGTTTGTACCGCCCAGGGACTCCAAGGTATAGCTAGCCTCTAAAGATCATCATCATGCTATCATTTTTTACCTTCTTTCTTGAATTCCTTCTTATCCAAACCCTCTACTGTTCTGCTGTTCCACTGGAGGGCTGTACTGCTAAATGTGAACTCGAAACTCACTTTGACCAATGTAATGCTTTCCGCCCCCCTTTGATTATCAAAGCCCTTAAGGAACCACTCTGAAACGGAAAGAAATAGAGCAGAAGCAGGAAAAAAGAGAACATAAAACACAGTGAAGATGTGTGCCTCCATGAGCTTGTCTACTCGTCGGCCAGCTTCACCTCACATGTGCTCTAGTCAGCGTCCTCTGCCAGGCCATTAACAAGCCCTTGGAGCCCACTCCCTCTCCGGGTAGGCCTCCACAGACACTGCCCCAGCCTTACTGAACTGCAGCAAGCTTGTGTGCTCAACTGCCTAGCCAGGCATAAGAGCTCAGATGAGGATCTTGCAGTAAGAGAACATTTGACCACAGAAAACTAATAAACACAAACATTTCCCAAATGGAGAAATGATTGGTCTTTTTTCAATAGAGAAAGGTTATTTTAGAACTGAAATAACTGTTTCATGGTGTTACTTATAAAACATGCAGCTGTGTTGAGCTTTTGATAATAGTTCCTCTACAAACGAGCTTTTTGTCATTTAATCAGTGTAATTGAGGCTAAAGAAAGAGGAGGAAGTCAGTGCTCGTTTGGACATTATCTTTAAGAGGAATTGCAACTTCTAAAAATGGAGAGTTCTCTCCATTGTATCTCTTCAAATCTCTTCTCCATTCTTAAAAGTTGCAATCCCTTTTACACATGAGGTCAAGAACATTCTCTGCAATGGAAAGTTACCTTGTCTTCTGTTTCACTCCGGTGCTTATGCCTCACTTAATGGCGATGCCTGTTTTGATGGGAGAAGGAAGCCTAGGCTGTAAATTCAAGGACTTTGGTCAGCCAGGGCTTGCTGTGGGAAAGCACACTAGGGTGAATGTTACTGGATATTTCCACAGCTGTGAAAAGCTGGTTGGTGACTAAAAAGCCATTTTGTTTGGGGATTTTATTTTGTTTTGTTTTATGAAATCTACAGAAATCCACAGCAGTGAGATTTGTTTCCAGGTTGAAATTGAGGGTGATTGGAATCTTCAGGTTCCTCTCGATTTTAACACACTGGCAGTGAACTCATTTACAAAGTACATTCTTGTACTTTTTCTTTTGTATGTGTGTGTGGTAAACATATAGGTAACGGAACATTTGCCATTTCAACATTGTTTACATGTACAATTCACTCGCATTCATTATGTTCATCCTATTGTTCAACCATCACCATTATCGGTTTCCATAAATTCCTGTACTTTGAGATGGCTTTCTCCCCATTTGGGGATAGAATGACTTGGCCTCGTGTGGATGAAGTAGAAGGTGGGTGAGAATTATAATACAGTAATTTGCATGCAGACTTACTAGATTTATTACATTTTTTATTCTGATTGGCAGGAATATATGGTTTACAGGAAGCATACCTACATGAGGCTTGATGGCTCCTCCAAGATCTCGGAGAGGCGGGACATGGTTGCTGATTTTCAGAACAGGTAACCTTAATGGGAATTATGAAAGTTTTCGTTTTGATTTTCCTCTAGTGCTGGAGATGGTGAGCTTAAAAGAAGTGCTAACACATCTCTGGTTGTTCAGCAAATCCACGATGGAGTTCCTGCCATTTTAGAGGAAGCTTAACCTGCTTCCAGTGATTCACATTAGTGCCTAATTCTTTGAGCAGTGAAAGAAAAGATTTCTGAGTAGGAACCAAGATTCCCTTTATGTGGAAAGTATCTGTGTAGAAAAAAACGTCCACAAGACTTTATTCCTAAATGTTAACAGTAGCTATCTCTGGGTGTTAACTTATAGTTGATTTTCAGTTTGTTTTTGCTTACCTATTTCATTTTGTATACATTGAAAGAAAAATACCTTCTTTTCTCCCCCGCTTTGCCTGTAGCATTGTAGTAGAAACCCAGTGCAGTATGACAAACTGTTCAGCTGACATCTCTCACTCATGACACCTGTCCCGCCTGATAATGATCTTATGAAGTTTCAAATACTGCCTGCTAGATGCTGATGCTTTACAGAGCCATAATTATCCTAAGTGCGGGTCCTCACTGTCATAAGCAGAGTCAGGTTACTGCTCTCTCTAAGCGGGAAGCCAGACTCTGCTAGTGACAGGTCTGCTGAACTCTACCCTTAGTTATCTTACTTAGACCTGGAGAGCTGAGGGATAGAGCACATCTTTGTGTTCTGCAAATCAGAACAGTTTTTCATTTCTGGCTTTTAATTGTGAGGCATGTTAATACTCAACCTTTGAATTCTTGGGAAGAAGATTAAGCATATAGCCATTTGTGTGTAGGTTACAGGTTTTAATTTAATTGTAGTAAAATACACATAAAATTTACCATTTTAACTGTGTTTAAGCGTACAGTTCATGGTATCAAGTACATTTACAATGTTTGGCAACCATCACCACTATCTCTTTTCAGAACTTTTTCATCATTGCAAACAGAAACTCTGTGCCTATTAAGCAATAACTCACTCCCCATCCCTCCCTCCCTCCAGTCCCTGGTAACCTTTATTCTATTGTCTATGAATTTGCCCGTCATATAAGTGTGATCATGTAATATTTGTCCTTTTGTATCTGGCTTCTTTCACTTAGCATAATATTTTCAAGGTTCATTAATATTGTAGCATGTATAAGAACTTTTTATGGCCAAATAATATTCCATTTTATGTATATAGCATATTTTGTTTATGCATTCATCTGTTGATGGACATTTGGGTTGTTTCCACCATTTGTTTATTGGGAATAATGCTGCAGTGAACATTGGTGTACAAGTATCTGTTAGAGTCCGTGTTTTCAATTCTTTGGGGTGTATACCTAGGAGTGGAATTGCTGAGTCATATTGTAATTCTCTGTTTAACCTTGTGAGGAACTGCCAGACTGTTTTCCACAGCAGCTTTACCATTTTACATTCTCATCAGCAGTGTTAACGGGGGTTCCAGTTCCTCCACATTCTCACCAGTACTTGTTATTTTTAGTTCTTTTTTTTTTTTCTCTTGCCTGATTGCTCTGGCCAAAACTTCCGGTAATGTGTTGAAAGTGGGCATCCTTGTCTTGATTCTCATCTTAGCAAAAACCTTTCAGTCTCTCAACAATGGGTATTATGTTAGCTGTGGGTTTTTCAAAGATGTCCTTTATCATGTTGAGGAAGTTCCCTTCTATTCCTAGTTTATTGAGTGTTTTTACCAGGAAAGGGTGTAGTACTTTGTCAGATGCTTTTTCTGCATCAGTTGAGATGATCATGTGTGTTTTTATTTTTCTTCATTCTATCAATGTGGTATATTAAATTGATTGATTTTTGTGTATTAAATCACCCTTGCATTCAGGGGATAAATCCCACTTGGTCACAGTGTATAATCTTTTTAATATGCTGCTAAATTTAATATGCTGCTAGTATTTTGTTGAGGATTTTTGCATCTGTATTTATAAGGGATATTGTCCTATAGCTTTCTTATAGTGTCTTTGTCTGGCTTGGTTATCAGAGTGATGTTGGTCTCGTAGTATGAATTAAGAAGTGTTCCTCCTCTTCAATTTTTTGGAAGAGTTTCAGGATTTGGTGTTAATTTCTCTTTAAATATTTGGTGGAATTCACCAGTGAAGCCATCTGGTCCTTGGCTTTTCATTGTTGGGAAGATTTTGGTTACTGATTGTCATGGGTTGAATTTTGTCCCCCCAGAAATGTGTGTATCAGTTTGACTGGGCCATGATTCCCAGTTGTATGGTTGTCCTGCATTTTGTGATTGTAATTTTATGTTAAAGAGGATTAGAGTGGGATTGTAACACCCTTACTAAGGTCACATCCCTGATACAGTGTAAAGGGAGTTTCCCAAGGGTGTGGCCTGCACCACCTTTTATCTTACAAGAGATAAAAGGAAAGGGAAGCAAGCAGAGAGTTGGGGACCTCATACCACCAAGAAAGCAGCACCGGGAGCAGAGCGTGTCCTTTGGACCTGAGGTTCCTGCGCTAAGATGCTCCCAGACCAAGGGAAGATTGATGAGAAGGCTGACAGAGAGAGAAAGCCTTCCCGTGGAGCTAACGCCCTGAATTCAGACTTACAACTTCCTAAACTGTAAGAAAATAAATTTCTCTTTGTTAAAGCCATCCACTTGTGGTATTTCTGTTATAGCAGCACATGATGACTAAGACACTTGATTCAGTCTCCTTACTTGTTATAGATTTTCTATTCTTAATAGTTTGTGTATTTGTAGGAATTTGTCCATTTCATCTAAGTTATCTAATTTGTTGGCATACAATTGTTCAAGTATTTTCTTATAATCCTTTCTATTTCTGTAAAATTGGTAGGAACATCCCCACTTTCATTTCTGATTTTTGTAATTTTTTAGTCAGTCTAGCTAACAGGTTTGTCAATTTTATTTATCTTTTTCAAGAACCAGCTTCTGGTTTTATTAGTTTTCTCTATTGTTTTTCCATTCTCTGTTGTGTTTATCTGTGCTCTAATCTTTGTTATTTTCTTTCTTCTGCCAGCTTTGAGTTTAGCTTGCCCTTTTTCTTGTTCCTTAAGGTGTACCCATTAGCCGTTACCATTGAGTTGATTCCAACTCATAGTGACCTTATAGGACAAAGTAAAACTGCCCCATAAGGTTTCCGAGGCTATAAGGCATTATGGAAGCAGACTGCCGCATCTTTCCACTGCACCGCCAGGGCTCCTTCCTTTAAGGCATACTGTTTATTGATTTGAGATCTTTCTTCTTTTCAATGTAGCTATTTATAGCTATAAATTTCCCTCTTAATCTGCTTTCACTGCACCCCATAAGTTTTGGTATGTTGTGTATTCATTTGCATTTGTGTCAAGGTATTTTCTAATTTCCCTTGTGATTTCTTCTTTGACTCATTAGTTATTTAAGAGTGTGTTGTCTAATTTCCACATATTTATATTTTTCTGGGTTTTCTTCTGTTGTCAATTTTCCAGTTTCATTCCAATGTGATTGAAAAAGATACTTTTATAATTTCAATCTTTCAGCTTCTATTAAGACTTTTTTATGGTTTAACATATGATCTATTCTGGAGAATGATCCATGTGCACTTGAGAAGAATGTGTATTCTGCTGTTCTTGGGTGGAGCGTTCCGTATATGTGTGTTAGGTCTGATTGGTTTATAGTGTTCGTGTCCTGCCTTTTGTTATTAATCTTAATGTCTGATTGTTCTACCTGTTATTGAAAGTGGAGTATTGATGTCTCCACCTATTACTGTACAATTGTCTGTTTTTTCCTTCAATTCTGTCAGTTTTTGCTTCATATATTTTGGGACTCTGTTATTAGATGTGTACATGTTTATAATTGTTATATCTTCTTACTGGATTGAACCTTTTATCAATATTAATGCCCCTTTTGTCTCTTGTAACCTTTATTGTCTCTTGGCAACCTTTTATCTCTTAAAGTCTGTTTTGTCTGACAATAATATAGCCACTCCAGTTCTCCTTTGGTTACTGTTTGCGTGAAATATCTTTTTCTATCCTTTTACTTTCAATTTCAACCTTAGTGTCTGTATATAAAGTGAGTCTCTTATGAACAGCGTATACAGATGGATCTTTTTTTTTTAAATCCACCCTGCCAGTTTCTGCCTTTTAATAGGAACGTTTACTGCATTTACATTTAAAGTAATTACTGATAAGGAACGATCTACTTCTGTCATTTAGCTATTTGTTTTCTGCATATCTTATATACATTCCTCCATTACTGCCTTTTTTTGCATTTAGTTGTGTTTTTCCAGCATACGGGTTTGATTCCCTCCTCCTTTCCTTTTCTGTATATTTTTTAGTTAGGTTCTTTGTGGTTACCTTGGGGATTGCAATTAACGTCTTAACATTTATAACAATTTAGTTTGAATAATACCAACTTAGTTTCAATAACATGCAAACACTCCTTCCTATCCTTCCATCCCTCCCCCTTTATATTGATGTCACAGATTACATCTTCACACTTTTTATATTGTTGTCACAGATTACATCTTCACACTTTTTATATTGTTGTCACAGATTACATCTTTACACTTTGTATGTGATTAGCATAGATTTATAATTATTCTTTTATTCATTTACCTTTTAACTCCAGTGGG